CACAAATCTTTGTTTCAGCCAAGATAGACTAGGTTCTGCTTTTGTAACAAGACCTTGAGACCTGAGTGGTATAAAGAACTGAAGTTTATTTCACCATCCCACTATGTGTGCATTGCAACCAGCAGGTGTGGTTGGAAGAATGGCGTGTGGGTTGTAGTCATGCAGGAACCAACGCTGATAAAGAAGCCACATTTTGAAACTTGCAAGATAGACTGCCACAGGGAAGAAAGGAAAAACACACATTGGCTCTTAAAATCTCCATCTGGAGGTGACACACAGCACTTCTGCTCACATTTTATTGGCCAAAGCTAGTTACATGACCACACTTTACTTGAGTGGTTAGGGAATGCAATCTGACCTTGTGCCCAGGATAGACAGCCAGATATCTGTAAGCACTGGAATGGCTATCACAGTATATGCCATCCACACTAACAGAGGGGAATATTGAGCAGTAAATGAATGACTAATCAAACCAAAGAAAGGCAAAATAAAAGTTCAAAATAAAAGAACAGAGATGCTGGATGTGGATGCACTGTCTGTAGTCCCAGCTACTCGGGAGGCTGAGGCAGGAGGATTGTTTGAGCCCAGGAGTTTGAGGCTGCAGTGAGCTATGATTGCACCTGTGAATAGCCACTGTACTCCAACCTGGGCAACATAGTGAGACCCTTTCACTAAAAAAGAGAGAAAAAGAAGGAGAGAAGAACACAGAGCAGACAGGAAAACAAAATGTGCATATTAAGGTGAAATTCAAATTCAAATATATCAATTATTTGAATTTATTTATTTAGTAAGTATTTTATAGAGAAAGGGTCTCACTATGTTGCCAGGGTGATTTCAAACTTCTGGGTTCAAGTGATCCTCCCTCCTCTGTCTCCCCAAGTGCTGGGATTACAAGTGTGAGCCACCATACCTTGCTAATAATTCTTTTCTTTTTTTTTTGGTAGTAGAGATGGGGACTCACTGTGTTGTCCAGGCTGGCCTCTTCAAACTCCTGAGCTCAAGCAATCCTCCCACCTTAACCTCCCAAAGTGCTGGTATTATAGGCATGAGCTGATGCACTGGCCAATAATTAAAAAAATATATAAATCAACTAGATGTTCCAGTTAAATGACAAAGATTGCCAGCCTGCATAGGAAAGAAATACATCACCTTTCATTGATTTTAAGATGCAGTTTTCTACTCTTTGACATTTCTGAAATTCTAGCAAATAATGACTACTAATATGTAAAAGATTGCACATAATTACCCAGTTGAATTTATTCCAGGAATGCAGACTTGGTTTAACATTAGAAAAATCAACCTATATAATTTGCCATTAAGAGAAAAATGACATAATCATCATTACAGAGGAAAATGTTCTTAATCTTCTACAGAGAATTTTAGGCCAGGTGTGATGGCTCACACCAGCCTAACACTTTGGCAGGCTGAGGCAGGTGGATCACCTGAGCTCAGGAGTTTGAGACCAGCCTGGGAATATATCCAGGGAACAGAACAAAAAGCCAGGAACAGACTCACACGTATATAACCATTTCATTTATGACAAAGGTGCCATTTTAACGCAATGGAAGAACAAATTGTCTTTCAAATAAATTATGCTTGTTTAAATGGGTACCAATATGGAAAAAAAAGAAATGTGATTTCTCCCTCAAAAGTAAATTACACGGCCAGGTGCAGTGGCTCATGCCTGTAATCCCAACACTTTGGGAGGCTGAGGCGGGTGGATCACCAGAGGTCAGGAGTTTGAGACCAGCTTGGCCAACATAGTGAAACCCTGTCTCTACTAAAAATACAAAAATTATCCAGGGGTAGTGGCAGGCATCTGTAATCCCAGCTACTTGGGAGGCTGAGGAAAGAGAATCACTTGAACCCAGGAGGCGGAGGTTGCAGTGAGCCAAGAGCATGCCACTGCACTCCAGCCTGGGGAACAGAGCAAGACTCCATCTCAAAATAAATAAATAAATAAATAAATAACATAAAATAACTTTATGACCTTGGAATAAAAAAATTTTAAATAAAACTTCAAAACAAATAAACAAAAATATTGATATATTTGACCACATTAAGAACAAGAACTATTTATATCAAAATATACCATTTGAGAGTGTATTAGTTCATCTATTTCTACATAATACACTGTCCCAAAAGTTAGTGGCTTAAAATATCAGTAAAGATTTATTATCTCTCTTTATTATTATTATTGAGATGGAGTTTTGCTGTCGTCACCCAGGCTGGAGTGCAGTGGCATGATCCTGGCTCACTGCAACCTCTGCCTCCTGGGTTCAAGTGATTCTCCTGCTTCAGCCTCCCTAGTAGCTGGGAATATAGGCACCCGCCACCATGACTGGCTAA